GAAATGGTAGCACCTTGAAAGGGTGTGGGAAGCATTCCTTCACTCAGACACATCATCTCATATTTCACAGCTGTGGGATTTACACAGCTACAGTTGCCTGATGGGAACAGAAGTTTGCATTCGTGAGCCGGCCTTTGTGGCGCCAACCAATTTCTTGTAAGACACTGAACCAGTTCCACTGTGTCCCTTCGGCCGAGCCCCACTGGAGCGTGCACCATGTGGCTTATGCCAGGTGCGTAAGTTTTACATACACATTCACATATTTCACAGCTGTGGGATTTACACAGCTACAGTTGCCTGATGGGAACAGAAGTTTGCATTCGTGAGCCGGCCTTTGTGGCGCCAACCAATTTCTTGTAAGACACTGAACCAGTTCCACTGTGTCCCTTCGGCCGAGCCCCACTGGAGCGTGCACCATGTGGCTTATGCCAGGTGCGTAAGTTTTACATACACATTCAGGAGTCCAGGGCAAAATTCACCCTCACACAGAGTAGGCCAGCACAAGACCAAGCAATCACTTAAGTTCCACTTGAGCCTTGTTTTGCCCAATAATGACATTCATACATACAGACCTGGGGCTCCCGGTTCAGAATATGTAGCCCTACAAACTGACAGCATTTTGTTTCATTTGCAGTGGCTCTCACTTCCTCACCGTCACCATGAAGGCACCGATCCAGCAAAACACTTAAGTATGTTTATAGCTGTAAGCAGGGCTCAACAAACGAGCAGCTCGCAGATCATTCTGCGCATGTGCAGATCGTGTAAAGCCGGCTCTTCCGGGTTGTAAACTACTCGCCACGAGCGAGGAGATTGCATTACTTGTCGAGCCTGGCTATAAGGATCTGGGTAGATCTACTGAAGACCACAAGACTGCTCATGTGCTTAGCATTATACACTCAATTAAGTGCACTGCTAGATTGGGGTCTAATTTAACTCCCATAATCTAATCTAATCTAATCTAATATAATCTAATCTAATCTAATCTGTCGGTCTGTTTTAGAGTGTCTGTCCAGCTGTGTGTCTGTCTGTGAGTCCATTTGTTCAAGAACTCCTCCCTAATGATAAGAGCTAGGGCCACGAAATTGGGTAGGATGCTTCCTCTTCTCCTAACTTAAAGCAAGGTCAGGGTTTGGTTATTCCAGGATAACTGGAAGCCCTGGGAAAGGGACTGTTTTCCATATCTTGCAAAGGGAGGGGCTGCTGGTTGGAGGGACACAATACTAAGAATGGCCACTAGGGGCAGCAAGCCGGCGCGGGAGAGTTATCCAGCAGCGTGTCCACAGGGGGCAGCTGTACCACCTACGGAGTGGTCAGCAGGGATGAGGCTCCGCTATCTTGCCTGCCAGCACACCCGGGAAGTAGCCCTCCGCTCCAAACCCTTTTCCCTCTCCTGGCCCGTGGTGCCAGCAACCGGGGGGAGGGGAGAAAAAAGTCCCCTGGCAGCTGGAGGGGACTGGGGCAAGAGACAATGCGCCTGGCAGCCAGCAGGAGTCTGGGGGGAGAGGAAATGTTTCTGAGCATGCCCGAGCCCAGAAGCAAAGCTGGGCCTGGTTCGTGCTTGGATGGGAGACCCT